CTTTAATTTGTCTTTTATATAAACAAATTTGATGTAAAATGGATCCTCATTACTTCTTTCTTTGGCTGGCATCTTTTTAAAATTTCACCAGGTTAATGCTGCACACAAAACTCTAGAGAGAAAAGTATCAAAGGACATGCAGTTCAGCTGGATAATTGGTCTGATCAGATACGCCAGAATTGGTGTAAAAACAGTTTATACCTTTTCAAAAAGTTCACTCTCGACGATCTTTGAAGAAGGTTGGAAGCTTTTTAAAGTTGAATGATATCATTGGTATCCTGTTTAAAGTTTGGAAAAAGCAGAACATGTAAACTAAATAGAAAACCAGTATTCAGCTGCACCATTTAAATTATTCTTGAGACTCTAGGTTTTCCTTGGAAATAAGGTTTTTGAAGCCCTGTTGGTGTACATAACTAGCCTTTCATCATACAAACTACTACATTGTAATCTAGTTTTGGATTACTTTGAGGAGTAAACCCAGTCAATTATGGCATATTCAATAAGCCATGGTTAAGTAGACCATCACTTAGGACAATGTATGAACCGAGGTAAAGTCTTTTGCTGTAATTCTCATGAATGTATGCAACTTTAGGCTCAATAGCTAAGTTTGCGCAGATTCCTACGACTCCTCACCAATAATACTTCTGGTTCAGGCTAGCAGGCTTCTGTCTATAGATAACACAAATTGCAGTCTTATATAATTCAAAAATCTAGATTGAAAAAAAAATCTAGAACTCAGAAACATGGGGTAGTTTGTAAATTCATGTCTTCCAGGGTGACATGGACTTGTAAGTAATCACAGCTCCAACATACATGGCACACTTTGGATCTGTACTTTATTTTGGAGAAGATGATATATGAATTGGATATGGAACACATTAATATTTATCTTTACTATGGTCAATATTCTTTATCAAACTTTATCATACATGTAGATCTTTGCATAGGGAGTCAACCACTTAAGATTGCTCCACTCAAAAGCCAAGTATATATGGATGAATTCTAGAGGACAGTTGACTTCTGGACTAAGGAGACAACCAAAATTGTTCTTGCGAGACCTCTTCCAATCATCCACTCTAAGCTGCTCCACGGTTCAGCAAGGATCTAAGGAGATGAAACAACCACAAAGAAATTAGTAGGACCAGGCACTAGCATAATTTGTTTGAGTCTATACAGTGATAGTCTGAGTAGCAACCTGTCAATTCTTATGTTTAATGTATCTGCAAATCAATAATGGTGGCTCTACTCAAGGAACACTAAGAGGGATATTTTGCCCATAAGCATGCCAGGTGAACTTGCTGATGTTTTTCTGGATAAGGTTGCTTGTAACTACTGAGGTACAATAGATCATAGACAAAGACCACACGATGAGCAAGGCAGGGCCTCGAATGTCATCTATGTGTTTGACCCATATGTTTCTACAGATAGTATTGACAGTACTGAAGGATGTGAGCTATTGTTTCAATGATTCCTGACTTACATTGAGAAAGGATTTCTATTTTTATGGGATTTTATGGAGTCCTTACAGGGCTGAAGTTTGCTGGACATTATAGTGTCCAGGGTCAAAGTTCTTTGGAGTTTTATGGTGCCTTCCAGAAGAAGAAATACTGGACTGAGGACAACTTGATGAAAAGTCATAATAGTGTTTTGTCCAACCAATTTTTCTATTTCAAGGTAAAAGGACACAGATTTGTAATGTCTAAATAACGTTCTCTTTTTCTCTCCATTTAGTTTCTTTTTTCCTTCATCTGACACATTTCAAGATTTGTTCCTTCCATTTCTCTACTTCCCTTCCCAGTGCAGCCTCACCCCATCTCCAACTTGTGTTCTGCTGGAAAATGAGAGAGAAGAATGGTAGTGTACTTTACAGGTTTCTTGGAGAGAAAATAATTTTTGAGTGTGAGCAAGAATGCTAGGTACATAGGGATCAATTATTTTTATAAATATATAATTAATTTGAATCAGTATTTATTAATTAATATTATCACCCCATAGCCTTTTGTGAAAATGTAGTTCTGGCAATGTGTCTGTATATGTGCACCTGGGCAAATGTTGAAGTGTGTCAGCTGGACACATTTATTAGGGAGAAGAGAATCTCTCAAACTGTTTTCAGTTGGAATCAGCAGCATCTACCTTCAGATGTCAGCAATTATCTACCTTTCTTAATCCTGAAATCTCTTCATTCCTACTCTAGGCAAATTTTTATTGTCATCTTTGCTTTCTTTTTCTAATATAAAGGTAGAAGAGGAGAGTGAAAAAAAGAATAATAATACAAGTAGTCCTCAACCATTCATTTAGTGACTGTTCAAAGTTACAACAACACCGAAAGAAGTGACTTTTGGCCATTTTTCACACTTATGGCCACTGCAGCACCTCTGTGGTCATGTGATCAAAATCCAGGCTCTTGGCAACTGGCATGTATTTGACATTTGCAGTATCCCAGGGTCATGTGATCACCATTTGTAACCTTCTCAACCAGCTTTCAACAAGCAAGTCAAGGGGGGGGGAGATCTAGATTCGCTTAACAACTGCATGATCCACTTAAAAACTGCAGTCATTCATTCAACAACTGTAGCAAACAAGTTCAAAAAATGAGGCAAAACATACTTAACAACTGCATTGCTTAGCAATGGAAATTTTAGGCTCAATCGTAGTCACAAATCAAGGATTACCTGGAATTTATTCCTAACAGAATATACTATTATTTTATAGATATACATAAAGGTGACTTCAAAATAAGTTATTTGGAAAATATGTTTGTTTCTAAAATACAGTTAAATACTTCATTATTTTGTAGTTGATATTTCTCCAATTATCATTGCTGATATTAATATCAGTATTTCTTTTTAGTAAAAATATGTTTTGAATAAAAAGTAAATTAATAACTTTACTGATGATCATTAAAAAAATAGCACCAGATTAAAATTCATGATTTCAGAACATTTATACTGAAAAACAGTAAAATAAATAAATCCCTACTACAAAGAACAGAAAAAAAAATTCTAAGGTAGTTTCATGTTTTGTTAGATGAACGTGCCAGTTTATTTTGTTCTGTATTTAATCACACATTTGTGAATATACTTTGACTATTTGAATTAGTCTACATAAGTGAAGCAAATCCAGATGCTAGTGAATATGGTAGGTCATCTGTTTTTGTGCACCAATCCCAGGAATAGGATCCAAGGCAAAAGTAAAACCTCTTCCTCTTTAAAAGTCAGTTTATGAGCTCCTCCTAGGCTGCTTGTTTCATCAGAGAATTGTATTCTTCTGCCAGCTTCTTTTGTTCATTCAGTTTTTCCAGCACTGCATCCATTAAATACGAGGCAAAAGGAAACTGGAAGGGAAACAGAGCAAGAAAAATGATCACTGAAGCCTATATATATATATATATTCAGCTGAAAAACATTTACTAAGTATCTTAAAGCCATTAGATTTCACTTAGTCCTGACAATGGTACTCCTGCTCAAGAACTGCGTTTCCCTAAAATGGAGCCTTCTGATTAGTGTGTGTAACTGTTCCTTATCATAAAAATGATAAAAGAGCAGAATAAAATGAAAAAAAGATAAACGCCTTATTGAACAATTCATGGTTTACTGACCATGTTAATGATGTAATCTGCAAGACCAGCAGCTCTGTCATTTATCTTCAATCAGCTGATCAATATGAAGTTACAGTCATCTCCAGGGCACTTATAAGTAGACGCAGCACTACAGGCTGACTGCTCTCAGGAGGGCAGAGACAGAGCTATCAATACAGATCCAAGCGCTGGGGGCAAAGGCTTTCAGAGGCATCCAGCGAAACTTGTGACTCAAGGCAGAAAATAACTTCCGAGATCAAGACACAATTAGAGTATTCTAATCAAAAGTCGTTCCCCCTCTTTTCTTTTTGAGTAGTGACGAAAATGGAAGAAGACATATGACAAGATCCCACCCAAAGCAGAGATGGAAATATTGTAGGGGAGAGAAATATATTCCCCCCATCCCAAAAAAAACACCCCGTCACATCTCCACCCTGGCTTTATTTTATTTGAAATTCACATTCAAATTAGAGAAAAATATGATTCACAAAGTGTTTGTGAGACAGAAATGAAGATTTATTTAACTATGAGGTAACTGACTAGTCTTCAGCTCACTTCAGTCAATGAGCCCTCTATGAACAGTCCGCTAAATTTCTACCACATCAGCCCAACAATTATTGTAATGGCAGAAAACGGACAGGCAATTTCCCCAATGGTCCCTGAACTATGTTTGTGAGAATATAAAAACTGTAACCACAGCAGACAATAGGAGGGGAAAACATTTCTTTTCCTGCAGGTTGTGATATGGAAATCTCAAATGTAGTGGCAGAGGTAACGAGAAGCAGCTTAGCTTGCACATTAAGCAATAATGGAAAATCAATCAGTTGAAAAAATTGGTTGGACTGAGAGAGATGCAAGTTTTGTATAACAGGAACTTAGAATAAACAAGTAACTTGAGATATATATATAGGAGACGGCAGACTGCATAAGGCCCTATGTGGATACTGTCATCCCAGTATGGCACTGGCAGCAATGGTTTGCTAACAAGCTGGTAAGTCCAGAAAAGGCTTCTGAATGAGAGATGTCTGACTCCTACCCAGGGCAAATGGTAGGCATGTTGAATTTTCCCAATTGTTGAATTATTTGATGTCATCTTGACAAAATCACAGTGAAGCCACAAGGCACGTGTGTCTCTATTTATTCTCTGTAATATCAAAATGTTTTCTTGATATTCCGTATAAGAAAACCTAGATAGTAGGGAAAATTTCTATTTCTGTGTTATGCCTGGGCTTGGAAAAAACAAATTTGACTTTTTCCCTTGTGTATTCTCTATCACTGCTGTAAAGTTTACTATAGAAGTTGGCTGAACTGGGAGAGAGTGTTCTGCGTCAAAATATGAAAATATATTTCTGTTTTTTAAAACCAACATTTAACTCCTGCTTTGTGATCCTTTTTACTTCCAGGCAGTTTTTTTGTGTTGAATTGCCAAATTTCAAATTTACTAGTGATGCTGCAAAGTTGGGTTTTCTGTCCTAACAGAATCAATTTGATGGAATTTAAATCTCTATTTGTAGGTGTCTTCTGTTAAATTGGGGAGGGGGGAAGCATTGGGTTTAGAGACAATTTCTGATTTTGATCAACTCTATAATATTCAAGCACAGCTATCTCAGCAACATGAGAAATTTTTTTTGGTCATCTATAGTTTTTATAATCCAAAAATAAATAAAGCAGTAACATAAGTTTAGGTGTTTTTAAAATGCTCTTTTTTATTTATGTTTTAAAATGTGAAGTTATAAAATACATTTTCTTCTGCATTCAGTTCCCATTCCTCCTTCAGGCTCTGTTTTCTGAAGTTTATAAACTTGTTTTGCACTATGTAGGTCTCCATTTACTTTTGATACATCTATTATTTTTAGTGTTTTCTATTAGATGAATGTATTATTCCACCACTGTCTTGGGCTTGTGATCATTCTATACTTTGCTTGCTGTTTATCACGTTCTAAGACTGCTTTGTCACTGTAAAATGATTTTTAAAGAGCTGTTTCTATCTTAATCATTCAGTACAATCAAGGATAACCGGCATTTGAAATGTTGCAGACATCTTATACATTTATCAGTTTCTGGGACCTGTTCTTATCTAGTTCACTTTATAGACATACATTCTACAGGGCACCTTTGCAGTACTTCATCTTCTACTGAAGACTGTCACATTTTTATGAATAGTCAAATAATGTATTGCCATTTTTCTTTTCTTCTGAACATGACGCCAACTTTAGTTGTACTGTCTGAGGATTGGGTAAATTGAAATCCATCTCGAGCATACCAAATTGGGAAAATTTACCCATACAAACTAAGGATGGCTGATCAAATGTTCTCCTTTTCAACACTTGCTTGGAGTGATCCAAGTTGAATCAAATTTGCATTCTGCAACATGAAATCATGGGAACTTGATATTTTTTTGTTCTTTTATTTTTCACCCTAAAGGCATAAATATACGCAGGGTGATAGCCTTGTTAACTACACCTTCCCCTTTTAAATTGTAATATAAAGCAGTAAAAGCAACAATTTGCCAACAATTTTTTTGTCAGCCTGGCTTTAAGGATGGAAGGCCAGGAAAAAAGCAATAACAGCACAATAGCTCTGTTATTAAAGCTTCTCTTTCCAATTAACAAGCACAATTCGTATTTATGTATTTGACAGCAAAACTCAACCAAACACTAAAGAACATGCTCTTTGCACTTAGCATGCAACCTGAAAGGTCAACATCAACGAAACCATGCACTATCACAAGTCAAAGGTTCAAGAAACAAAAAAGCAACAGAATCTTCACATTTTACAACCTGAAACTCATCCACGCTAGTAGAGATACTTGTGCAACTCATGTGATAGCTATCCCCATGCAAAATAAAGTATAACAGAAAAAAGGACAATATACGCAATCCAATTCAGGAAATCCTAACTTCCTCACAACAACAATAACAATAGCAGCAACAAAAGTTATCAGGTATATGTTGAAGCAAAAGCAATCTCCGTTGGTTCTAATTTTGGCACTGGTATTTAGAGTAATCTCTGGATGCAGATGCAGGTCCTGCCTCATCCTGGACTTAAGAACATCTTCTGTCTTTGAGCTGTTCCATCTTAACAATTGCTGCAGCTCCCTCTCCTTATTTTCTCAACCAGTATGAACCCCCATTGTATTATTATTGCTCTGGAAAACAAAAAACCCAAATCCAAACACATTTTTAAAAATAGCAAATCAAACATGGGACTCCAGATTCCAAGCAATGCTCTTGAAACTGCCCAGAACTAAGAGAAAACTCTAGGAACAGAGCTATTTCCTTTCAAGCACAAACCATGTTTTATTGGTATCATTATTGGAATCTGATTTAAAAAAATACAATTGTTCCTTAAAATATTGAAAGGTACATTCCAGCAATAGATACATTTCGTCTATTTAAATATTACACTGTAAAATGAAATTTTTTAACGAAACAATAACATTTTTATCAGCTTAAATATTTGAGAGCTCTTTGTAAGCAGTGGTTCTGTGGAATGCACAATTCGCATGAAATCCTAGTTTCCACCAAAGAAAATGATGTGTAAGTGCTATATTCTGACTTGAAGCACTATGAATGTAAGCCAAAATTAACTGCCTGGTGAAATGCTGCAAAGCATTTGTTTTGAAAATGCACTGAGATGTGACAATTAATGGTATAAATACCTATTTATACAGTTGTATGTTTAGGACCAAAAATATGTATTTTAAATAATATCCATAACAATAAGTTTGCCTGCAGGCTTACTATTAAAGGGCTTGTGCCCTGAAAGGGAACTGATGGGGTGGGGGATGGGAAGGGATAAGCTGGAGAGAGTCAGAAGATCAAGTGACAGACGCCAAACCACAGTGTTTGGCTTATAGGCAGCTGTCTGAATGAAGCGACAGTTTGACAGCTATTGAGGGTCAAGTGGTTATTCATTTTAAAAATCGTATTAAAGGCTGTTCAAGAAAATAATACAGGGAATTCTCATGTTAAGAAAGAAAAATGCACAACAAGACACATCAATAAGTGGCAGAAGAAAGGCATGCACAGTTTCAGTCTTATTTTAATAAGACGTTAAGTCAGGGAATAAAAGAACGGGCAGGTTCTCAATGAGGAGGATAATGCCAAGTCCAGATTTTCTTCAGAGAAGGATGATTGCTGGTTGTTTTGCATTTGGAAATCTGAGATCATTCATGGCAGGAACTTCAGAAGGATGCACTTTCAAATACTTTCTTGATACACAGAGAAGAGGGAAGAGAGCAGGAAGGAGAAGGCCTCTCTGGTTCTTGTATTTCGCTACCCTTTGCCTTGCAGCTTGACCAGATATCAAGATATTTGACAGATTAATTTGACAGATGACAAGTTGTTTTAAGTCCATCAAAGATTAGTCTTCAGAGTCTGCCATTTGAATTAAAACCTAAAAGCCAGTAAATATTCCTTTCCTATACTCTGGCATGACCATATGGTTTAATGTGTGTTTACTTGGTGAGCAATTTGTCACTGCTCTCTGCTTTACACTTATGTCCTGTTTATTCAGCTAATTTTTTGTGTCATGATGTATAATCCCTTTTCATCAGCCATAGCGATATAGAGCTCAGATTACATTACAGTACATTACAAGCCCAAAGCTATGAAAAACAGTTTTACTCAGGTCTGTGACAGCTTTGAAGTTAATGGTGCTTCCATTATGTAATAGATCCTTCATGATCTACCTATCATGGTGGTTTTAAACTTCCTTTAACGTAAGGATGCTGGAAGCTTTCCTCTCCGGAGTTC